CCCCAAAACCCCAAAACCCCAAAACCCCAAAACCCCAAAACCCCGAATGTGACAGTCCAATTGAAATATATTATTGTTAAAGGAAAGGAATGGGGTCTCTTTGCGATAATTGATTTAAACCAGAAAAATTTCAGACGAATCTACCTAAAAATACTAAGAATTATCCCAGATTATCTGGAGTGTCAAGTTCAGATACAGAAGGAAGCCTCCAACTTTATGCTGAAAGACAAAAGCTATTGGAAGAGGATGAGGAAATTCCATCGTCAGCACCAAATTGATCAAATAAAACAGATAGGACAGTGAGTCAGACTAATTCTGGCATGACTGTTAGTCAGACAACCTTGTGCTCTTCCACAGAGAAAAGTAAGTTGGTTATACTTAAGATATTATATTCGTCACTTTAATTCTAAAATATGGCCTTGCTTCAAGAGCCCATTCTAGGATCCTGGTGGCATCTGGCGTACAAGCAGGATCGAAAATTTAGAATTATCTTAACCTTAGCCTTCCAAGTATCACTATAAGTTATCTCTCACCTTGGTTCTATCTTAAAATAATTTTGCTAAGATTTGAGTTATGATAAAGAACTTCTTAATCTTGTGACTCCTAAAATTCATCAGTTTCCAAACATTACAAATATAAAGAGATATATTACATTTTGCTTTCTTATACCTCAGTCAAGAGATGTCTAACCTACGGTGTATAGAAACTAAAGTTAGCATTGACGACTTTGAGATGCTCAAAGTTATTGGTCGAGGCTCCTTTGGCAAGGTTCTCCTTGTGAGACACAAGGAGACCATGCGTCTATACGCAATGAAGTCCTTAAGGAAGGAGAACTTCAAGGAAGAGAAGGACAAAACAAATTGCATCATTGAAAGAGTGATTCTGGAGCAACTTAATAGTAATTTCGTGGTTAAGCTTCATTATGCTTTTCAATCTCTTGACAAAGCTTACTTTGTCATTGATTATATGCAAGGAGGAGACCTCTTCTTCCATTTACAGAAGAATAAGAGATTCTCTGTCAAGAGAGTCAAGTTCTATATTGCCGAATGCGTCCTTGCTCTGCAGGACCTTCATAAGAAAGGAATTATTTATAGAGATCTGAAGTTAGAGAATATTATGTTGGATTGCCAAGGCCATATCAAGCTCACTGATTTCGGTCTCTGATGTCTCTCTAAGAGCAAGCCTTCAGTTGCACATGATCTTGATGAGGAAGGTTCGAGAGTTATGGCATACTCTTTCGTCGGGACTCAAGAATATCTATCTCCTGAGGTGGTCAAAGGGATTGGTTATAACCAATCAACTGATTGGTGGTCCCTTGGAGCAATCATGTTTGAAATGCTTTCAGGAGAAAGCCCATTCGCAGACAAAAGCACCTCAAAAACATTGAAAAATATCTGATATGCTGATGTGTGCTACAAAGAAATATATTCGAAAAAGGCACAAAAGCTGATTTCGAGATTATTAGAAAGAAATCCAAAGAAAAGACTTGGCGCAAATCAAGGAGCTATTGAGATTATGCAGGATCCCTTCTTTAAAGAAATCAACTGGAATGAACTTAAAGACAAAAACGTGAAGCCTCCTTTCGCACCCAAGAATCGGAGCGAGTGTTGTGTCAAATATTTTAGCCAGGAATTTATTGAAGAAGACGCTGAAGACTCATTTGTCGAATCAAGTCTGACGGTACTCCAAAAATCGGCTAACCACATCGACAGGTTTACTTACGGATTTAATGATGGGTTTGTCGATCCCTGTAAGTCCACATCATATTCAGTGATTGAAAAGAGTGCTGATAAGAGCAAAACATTTGAAGGAATTCCTGAAATGGATCCTGATCTGGAACAATAATTATTTTATTAAAATATTAATCTAACTTCGACAGTACGACCGGAGAAGGGGTTTTGGGGTTTTGGGGTTTTGGGGTTTTGGGGTTTTGGGGTTTTGGGG